ACATCTTCAGGTTCTTTAGATGGTCTTCAATCTGATCTTCTACAACTGGCAGCTCTTCATTCACCCAGTCCCTGCTTTTGCCATCTGTGACATGGGTGGTGTGACTGGAACATTTGCCAGTTGAGTTGCTGACTGGCTCAGCCTTTGCTATGTCCTAGGTCACCAGGTCTCCTGTTTCCCTTTAGAGAGGTCCCACATTTCCCCTGGCCTTCCTTTTATCACTAATGTAACAATAGAAGCTTTTGTTGTCCTAGATGTCCCTGCCCACATTTAATCCTATCAGGGCTTTAGCTTTCCCAAAGGGATTTCTGGCTGCTTAGACAACCTGTCTGTATATCTTCCGGGCTACCTGTCTGTGCTTGCATTCTCTGGAGGCCTCCTTTCTGTCTTTGAATTAATCCAGGAGTTCCTCATTCATCCATGCAGGCATCCTGGTGGTTTTTCCTGACTTCCTCTTTGCTCCTGAGCTTCAAAAGGGTGATTGATCTCACAGTCTCAAAGAGTGGGGCACAGGGCTCCCTTGAATCCAGGACAGCATTTCTCATTGGTCTAGGGTGGAGGATGCCACAGCCTCTGCACAAACCCCACAAGCAGTGCAGTTTGAGGTGGGGCCAGCATCAGCTTTCAGGATCTGGCCTTTATGCAATGCTCAGCTTTTTAAGAGCACAGCTGCAGTCAGAGGAGTTAGGTCACAGTTTTTCTCAAAGGAAGGTATTTTTGAGGAATGCCTTCTTCTAGCAAGTGGAATTAAGGCTGGAGAGCAAAGTGACACCTCAGGATACTGCTAACCTGCACACAGCACCATCCCAAGCATCAGCAGAGCCATGGGGCGTTACTCTCACTGCACTCCACATCCCCTGCCAGGTTGGTGCTCCCCTCAAGCAGCACAGCTGCTGTCCTGAGCACCTCAGGTACCACGGAGCAGCAGGGATGGCAGACCTGGACCTGCTGGGAGTTCTGCAATCATCTGTTACAAATGCTTGGGAAGAAACCGGCCGAAGCAGAAAGCCAGCATTGGAGCATATGCAAGCTTCTGAAGCTGTCAGGGAGAGTTTCTGCTCTGTAGACCTGTTATTGCTACTAGCTCTGAATACTAGCTCTGGGCACTTGCAAACCTTTATGAGAAGATTATGCAAGGACCAGCATTGAATTCAGCACTTTAACAGAGCAATACTCAATACACAGAAATAGACAACTCTTGCTCAAAACACTTATTTTTCAGAAGTCTGTTTTAGAGAGGTTCAAATCAGTTAGTGGACTTGAGGAGAGCATCAAGGTCAAAGACACAGAACCTATAAAGAAAATATAAACACAAAATAGACTAAACTATGATATTAGAGAAAAACATCTATTAAGCTGGTAACTTCAACTTCCTGTTAAGAAAAACAAAACAAAACAAAACAAAACATGCTTACTATTTAATATTGAGGTGGTATTGCAAAATGTGAATATAATATCTTTTGACTAAAGAAGAATTGTGAGTGCCAGATTGCATCCATAATCTATCATCCATGAACACATTTATGGAGTGTGCTTTCCCTCAGATTCTCAGCTTGAATCCCTGGCAATCAATGAGAACATATATCATACAGATGTACAGGTTGTACATGAAAATATGCCACAGAGAAGTCTTGAGAACTGAAGTGTTCTGCCTTCCCTGAACACCAATGTATCCTGAATCTGGTGATCAGAGTGATGTGGAAGACTGCTGTCATTAAAAAAGACTGTGTCATTATCAGAAAAGTTGTTGCTGTTAAAAAAAACAAATAAAAATTGTTCATTGTAATAAGTAGTTTTGGTAATCCAGTTTTTGAGCCTTCCAAACAGGATTGTTGGGAATTTCTGCAGAAGAAGGGAGGAAATAATAATAATAAAAAAACCTAAAAAAACTTTAAAAATAAAAAAACCAAAACCAAACAAACAAAAGAAAACCACCACCCCAACAAAATAAACAAACAAAAAAAAAAAAAAAACTACGAAAAAAGATTTCCAACTCTTGCTTCCAGAAATATCTTCTCAAACTGTTTCTGTCTGGTCAAGGCTTAAGCAAGTCTTAAAGGCTAAGAAGGTCCTCGAGTTCAAGATTTTACAAATTTAAATTTCCACCTCTCACACACACTTCAACCCCAATTACCATTAATTTCAAAGAGAAGCCCTAAAAAATGTAACAAACCTAAAATGTTTTGTGGAAAGAGAGAAGTATATAAGTAAACCAGTAAAAAATTAAAAGTGATTTTAAATTAAATTCTTAATCTTTAAATAAAACAAAAACCACAGCAGAAGACTTTAATAATTTCTCCTATTTGGGATTCATCATGTTTTAAAATTATTTTTACTTATTAAGTGATCGGTCTGATAAATAGGATCATTTATTTCTTACTACTTCATGGAATTATGGATATTATGGCCTATTTATTTCTGATCTCATTTAGATGTTTTCTTAATCTCAGTTGTTGTATTATCTTTGTTTGGGTTTCTCAAGCTTCAAGTAGTCTGCTTTTCTTGTATTTCAGACCATGAATTAGACTCCTGTACAGATTCAAAGGTTTTTTCCCCTGCACAGCACTGTTGCAAAACAAATACTAAGCCAGAACAGATAGACTAAAGTCTATTTCCTAGAGATGATAGGCCCTGCTGTTTCAGTCACATCAAAGATGCAATGGCTGGTGTGCTTACAAATTGCTGATAATAAATGAGGAGTTGTTTATCAGCTGGAGCAGTGCTGCAGATGTCATTGAGAAAATAAAAACCAGAGAGCTGCATCCAGTACTACAGGCTGGCAAGCAGGTAGTCTTTCACAAATCATACCTTACTTTCATGTCTCCTGGAAATTTTGTACAACACTGTAAAAATTTTTCATCTAGAAAAATGCAAAGTGTTTAAGAAACCAAAGGCCACTTTTTTCTAGACACTGTATCACTAAATAACTGGCACCCACTAAAAGACAAAAAGTTTCTTGTGATGTAAGCTCAGACTGTAAAGGTTTCCAAGCAAGGGTATGATAACCCAGATCCTAGGGCAGTTATTTATGGTAATTTCAAGCATGGAATGAATTGCAATGACCTTAATCATAGCAAGATGGTTTCCTACTATGCCCTAGGGTATTCTGAACTGACAATGCTCCAGACTTTCCTGAGGAAGCTGCTGGCTGGGTAGGCACAGGAGGGACTGATAGGTAATACACCACAAATCAGTACCCTTCTAATGAGAATGATCACTTTTAAGACTGAGGACCAGAAATGCAGTCTGTGTTTCAGACAATATTTGACACAAGCTGCTTAGGGAGAAATAAATAAAAAAGGAACAAAATTAATTTTAAAAAATTAATCTCTCACCTCCACAATGAAAGATCTAATGGTAAGACAGATTTATCCTCATTTTCTTTCTCTGACAAAATAAATATTTAGCTGTCACTTGGAGCGGAGAATAGTGCCATTAAGAGAGATCCTTCTTGCATTAACTATTATCTGCAACTTGCTTCTTCACAAAGGAAGTCACTGGTTAAAACAAAGGGTGAAATCTAGGTGTCACACCTGATTGGGTGAATCACTGAAAAAGTATGTGGAGGACCTCACAACATGCCTTTTCCAGTGTCTAGATTCTTCCAGGATGCACCTTTTTATGCTTTACAGTATGCTTAGGATGTTTTAATACTAGAAACACAAAAGTCCTTGGAATGTAGGAGAGCAGACCTTTCAGGACCCATATTTTACATTGTGACACCTAAATTACCAGTTTTGTCCTACAGCTTCCCTAGCAAGGCATTTGCTTCTGCTGAGGCAAGCATGAAATCCAGAAAAGTGTTGAAAGGGCCTGTTCACATTCACAATATTATCAATTTTTAATTTTTATTAATATTAGCTTAGAATCTAATTAGTCCCTAACATGCTTGACATTTCTTTGGGAAAAATGGATTTATTCTCTCCATACCCAGAGAATCACACAAGCATATGTGTACATGTAGATAGCACACAAAGTATACGAGGAGACATAGACATGCACACAAACACATACACAGACTCAGTCTTTGCTGCTTTTTTGGTAGTGGTATTTTTAACTCTAATTCACAATTAAATGCTGCTTTTTGAAACACCTTTCAGGGATTTTGCTGTTATGCTCAAATCTTCACAGCTGAAGAAGAGACAAAATACAGGCAGCCTTTTTTTATTGAATTAATTTGATTTTTGTCTTTTGTCCTGCCAGCTATCAAAATTGTCAAATAAACCAGCTTTGATTCATAAATAATGGTTCCATTATATTTACTGTGCCACCGGTCAGAGTACCTGAAATTTTAATTCACTTGTTCAGCTAAATTTCATCCTCAGTTCACAGCCATAAAATTCTGTATTGACAAACTTTCAAACCAACTTTGACTCTGAGGTATCTAGTCAACATTTTTCTTCTGTGTGGATATTAGTTTATTGAATAAGTGGCATCTGTTTTCCTCCACATCACTGGTGGAGTAGGTATTTCCTTTTGACAGCTTTGTACGATTTATGGGTTTGCATGCTATGAAGAAAAATAGTACTAAGCAAAAAATTCCAATTCATTACCTCTTAGTACTTAATTAAGTTCATACGCATTGCACACTATAGGTGAACCCTGAAATGACTGTGACAGCCACTGAGCAGCAAGTTAGATTATCTTTGGAAGACAGAGAGACTTTTAATTATCTTGACCTCATTTCTTCCATCTATGATATTCATAAATTTTCATTTTATTTTGTTGCCTCCATCAGATGTACCAAACCATTCTAAAACCAAGATTATATCCTTAGCTATTTCCTTTTATCTGCACATTTAGGCGCTGAATGTTTTTACAAATAGTGAAGGCAAGCAATAGTTTTTATCAGCTTACTTCACGCAGCTGCAGATGAATTATGTCATACAGGCTCCCCATAATAATGGTTTGGTTTTGAAAATGATAACAGCTTGATAAAAGAAGAAAGCAGTGGATCTGACTATCAGTAGATACAGAAATAAAGAGAGCCTGGGCTTTACCTGTCAGGGTTCTGCGTACACACATGCATCTGCAAGAGGATCCGCTGGGTGAAAGTCTTAAAGCATTGCCCACATTTCCAAAGATGCCAGTCACTGAACTCAGAATTTAGTTGGCTTGTTGAAGTTGGGCTTGCAAGAACTCGTTGGTTTTTGACACTGATCTGGTTAAATCCTGACTCGATGGACCCAGACTTATCCAGGAGAGAAAAATTTCGGCTACACGGAGTCTGTGGAAATACTATGGATCGCTGTGGAGTGGCAGGGGATAGTTTGCTACTTTTATTAAATGGCGGTAGGGTGTCTTGTCTGGACATGGCCTCCATTACAGTCGAAGGGACATTCACTGGGAGAAAACAAGAAAAGTAAATAAGATCGTTTTTATGCCTTTTTAAAACTAATACAATTTTGGGACACCAAAAAAATCAACAACCATTTTCTTGACACTACAATGAAACAGTTTAATTTTAACAAAGTACAAAAAAATAAAAAAGGAAAAAAGGAAAAAAAAAGAAAAGAAGGGCTTGAATGAGACAGTGATCTGAATGGATGGTGCTGATTTTGTGACACTGAAATGAAAATTCATGCAAGGGAGTGTCTGAGACTGAAAGGACCCAGAGAAGCCTGACTGTGATATAGTTCTATTACACAATGGGATTGTCATCTGAAAGAAAAAGCTGCACCTCTTGTGATACCCTGACTCTGCATGTTGCAGTCAGCATGTCTGACTGCTATATCACAGGCAAGCATGAATTTTGAGAGCATGGAGAAAAAAATCCCTTCAGGGACCCTCCTTGAGATATAAGAGGGCTTAAATATCTACTGCAGCAATAGTTCGCTCATCCTACAAAAGGGTGGCCTCTGAGGATATTACACCATTGCATCTCACAGATGGTCACACTGCCAATGCAGTAAGAAGCCAGGGACTTCATCATGCATCTTATGCCTGAGGTTAATAGCAGTTAGGTCACCATGAAACACTGCAAAGTAAAGGCAGAGAGATCTTCGTGCATCAGTTTCCCACCTACAAAACAGGTATGAAAATGTTTTAAAGTCCCATGAAAATTGTTTCTAGTCTTATGATCATCAATGGACTATGGCTGATGAGGCACTCAGATATTTCAGCGACAAATGCAATATGATTTTCACAGAGAAGTGATTTAGTGCTGAATTTGATTGTTTTGTGATAAGAAAGGCAGGAGGTCAAGCAAGTAGAAGAAATTGAACAGCTGCCTCACACCTTGAGAGCCATATAGATCACACAGTGAATGAGGCAAGGGTCCTGTGGAAAAATAGTCAGCTGACAAAAGCTCGCACCACAATGCAAAAATAAACATAATTTAGGCCACTGGACTGAGTAACTTCTAATGCTTTCTAATTTTGGCACACTCAGGCCCACGTGCTATTATTTTCATGGAAATTTTTAAATTAAATGTATTATATACATATAAGTCTCTGTACACAAATTTGGTTACAAACTGTTTATATGTACAAAGAGGTACATACCATGTATTAAACTGATGATTAGAAACTGCAGCTGTGTTTTGGTAAATCATGATGATAAGAGCAAATATGAGCAAATCATGACTTCTAAGAGCAAACATGACAATTTCAGTTTTAAGCCAGAATCAGCCAATATTATTTAATGTAAAAGAAATACAAACAAACAAACAAAAAAATCCCCAAAACAACCACAACTTAATATTTGGTAATATTTTAAATCATGCCAGTTGCTTTAGAGTTCTGTTCTAATATCTATGATCAATCATAACAATTCAAATATTATATTATTAGAAGATATTTAATTTATGTCACTTGAGGTCCATCCTAATCTATTCTTTTTTGTAGTATCTGAGAACCTCATTTCTAAGTAGGTTTGCATCCATGGATGTGTCTATCTCAAGTTTCCAGACACAGAATACATTTTCTGTGTCTCTTCAGTATCAGGAGCAATTTGTATACTATCATTTTGCCTCAATATAGTCAGAAGAAGGAGATCAACTTTTTCTTTTCTTTTATTTTCTTTAAATTTTGGTCATAGAAGTCCACAGAAGCAGTGAGATCAGGCTACTATAGATCTAAGGAATATAGGCAGAACTTGTGCTGCTGACAATACCCTAGTGCAGAAGATAAGCAGAAGGTACATTCTGGGAGTTTAGGTGGGACTGAAGTCCTATACCAGTCTGCAGATGGCTCCAAGGTCAGAGATTAATTTCATCTACTCATGTCAGTGTCTCTATGGATGAAACTCTGGTTTATCTCACAGAGAAATCGCAAGAGACAATATTTATAGATATTATCCATAATGATTTTCAAATAAAATTTTTGTAGTCTTGAGTTTCTGAAAGAAAAAATAATATTTCTAAATTGTACACTCCAGAGCATGGCTTTTATCAGCAAATATTTCTGCCAGAAACTAAATTTCTTTGAAACTTTTCTCAAACTCAACAGACTCTCCAGAAAACTCAAGATGAGAAAGGATGTTTATTTTCGACAGTTTAGTCCCTGCTATCTTGCTGTTTAATTGCTGCATGATTCAGTATTTAAGTTGCTACAAGACACTAGTTCTTCCTAGCAGTTCATGCTGTTAAAGTGCCCAAGTCCAGGACCAAAACCATGCACCTTATACAGCATTTACTGAGTGTGGGCAGTCACAGAGTTACTTTAGACCAAAGTCAACGGTCCATTCCCGTTTTCTCCCTATAGATATATATAGATACATATAGCTGCCAAAATGGACGCAAGCTCTAACCAAGTCTCACACACAAGCAGTAGAACTGAAGGATGTGCCTGGATCACCCATTTTTATTACAGACGTAGGTATCCAGCACTAGATTTTGTCTGAGTTAAAAGTAACTATTCATGCTTACTTTCATGAGGATCCCTAGCAAACGAGAAATAAAATGTTGAGAACAGGTAAAAGAATGGATGAAAATGGAGATGGTCAGGGTGGAATAGAGATTTATTGTCATTTCAGTGTGCTTAAATTCAGCTGGTATTTCTAACAGTAGGGTTTTATGTTTAACCACAAGGATCTAACCTCTTTAATCTGCCAGTCAAAGCTTTTCTCAACATGCTCAGAGGTAATAGAAAAAAAAGAATCACCGACAGGGGCCCTGTGGGCTTGCAATGCGTTACTGTTTTGGCAACACGGTGTTTTATGATAGGTCTAGTAACAACTGAGAGAACCAAACAAACTTGTTTGCAATACATTAATTAATCACTGATGCAGAACAGTGATTCTAACCATACCACAATTTTGCAGTGTAAGTGCAAACCTCACCTTAAATATACTGCAACTTTCATTAAATGCCATAGAATCAGAGAATCATAGAATGGTTAAAGATCATCTAGTTCCAGCTCCCCTGCCAAGGGCAGGGACGCCACCAGAACAGATTGCTCAAAGCTCCATCCAGACAGGTGTTGAAGTTCCAGGGACAGAGCCCCCTCTAAAATGCTCTATGATGTATCTGGTTAGGCATGAAAGAGGAATTATGGCTTATACAGGTAAAAATGCAAGAAAGAACTTACAATTTTCATCTTGTGCAATGCACTGGAGAGGGATTCCAAAGAAAGATGTGTAGCTGTCGTTGTACCACACTAACAGCTCAGTGCCCCTGGGGATATCTATACAAGCCCGGTAGAATATATTTGACCTAATCAAGAAAAAAGAAAACATGGCATAATTTAGGAATAGAGCATTCTCATCTTATAGCTCATGGTATTACAGTAGAAATTCATTGTTTTGGAAGCATTTCTGCAGACAGCTAAATGAATAACCTACTGGTTGTGTTAAAACCAAATCTGTCATTAGAGAAGGACTTTGTTCCTGTAGCACAGGCTAACAACATTACAGACAAGTTGTATCTAGCATATATTAAACACTAAGGTTTCAGAAGGACCAAGATACCATTAAAATACAGGTATTTTCTTGCAAAGTGTGTTTCAGGGGGATTTTAGAATGGTACTTTCTGCTTACATGGTATAATCATCTGAGTGATGTATACAGATCAGCAAGTACAGCCATTTAAACAGCTTTGCATTTGTCACCTGCAAAAGTTAACATATTTTAGGGTAGACAACATTTCTTTTGTGAAGAGAAATTAAACTAATAAATACATTCAGCAAGACCTTTGAGATAGTGTGTGGAGTGACCTGTCATGGCAGTAATATACCTTTAAAAGAGAGACCTTGGGTTGTTGAGAAAAACAGACTTTGACTTGGGGGAAATAAAATAATGGGATTAATTGGATCATGCAGAGTTAAAATCTTCCACTACATGGAATGTGAGGGCAGTGCCAATAATTTAGTATGTGTAAATGAGTGTTACCATAAGTGTGTAACTTATTGTACACATTGTTCTTGTGATAGAACACTGGGTATTTCTAGACCACTGAAGTGGGAACACAGGGGGAAAAGGGAAAAATCCTTATGTCTTTAGCATAAAAAGAAGAGCCTTGTCCTGATCTTGCACTGATGTAAATAGCTTCAGAGTGATACTTCTGCAGTTAAGACATTTACATGGCAGCAAAAACTGTGCTAGATTGGAATCAGACACAGGATAAAAGACAACTGTTATCACTTTGCAGTGGCTTTTCCCTTATGCTTTGCATGGAACAGTAAAACACACTCCTCTGAGATGGATAGAAATTCAATATATACAAGAGGAACAGTCCACTCTTGCTGAAGGATTACATACCAAAGTGATACAGTCAAAGTACCAAGAAATGAACATTTTTTATAACCGCTTATGTAAGGCAGAAAAACATCTACAGACCAAAAAAAAAAGTTAGGCCTCAACCAGTTTTCTGAGTGAAGAATTGCTACAAACATTATTCTGAAGTTCAAGATAAAAGTGTTTAGGGTTGGTAGGCCTTAAATTTAGACTTTCTATAAAGAATAGGCTGTAGCAATGCAATTTGTTCCTTGTATAACACTGCAGACATAAGGAGAATCTTCTACCACATTTTTCATGGCAGTGAGATATGCACTTGTCAACATATTTTGTCACCGCAAAGTGGCTCTTGGCAACAGGATCATAAAGATCAATAAAAAAGTGCAGATTCTCAATATTTTACTAGCAGCTGCAAAAATTTCATTTATCTTGTTATTTTCCTCGCTTACTGCCACCCTGTCTCAGGAGGGCACTGCTAGCTAAGCAGAACGGTTTTCTTAGCCTTCTATGAATATCTGACAAAAACTCTCCTCTTTGTGTCTCCCCTTCATCTTTCCTCCTCCCTCTCCTCCTCTTCTTCTCTGTCTCTCTTTCTTGACAGAGCTTTGCATTTAGTTAATTCTTTCCACTGTTAAATAAAAATGAAAATCGGAGCCACGCTATAAATTATCGGCATCTCTTAACTTGAGAAAAATTGAGTCTACTTTGTACTTCACCCTTGTAACATTTCATCTCTCAGTTTGGCTTCCCTTAACATAAACACAGCAGCCCAGCAAATGAATGTGCTAAAACCAAATGACACACTTTGCTGCTGAAAGAGCAGAACTGTTTTTGAGCAATGGGTGGTCTGTGGGGCTTGGAGTAGGCAGGGAAAAAAAAGTGTAAGTGTACACCGTCCTTTACAAGTGTGCAGAGCTTCCAAAACTCGCAGAAATCTCTGCATGCTGAAGTACATCAAAGGGATTTTTCCCTTTTCGGATAATATTTCCTTTGCTGACATGTATTTAGTATTGTGGTTGGATGACTCATAAAGATAGCTTCATGGCGTCCCAACGCAGTTGAAGCAGAACACATGCCAACAAACATTATTGTCAGCCTCAAAATAAAAACAAAACGTTCAGCTAAGGGTCAATCAATCAAGAGCACTTTGAAGAAAATTCCATTTAGATATTACAAATCATAACAGAATGAATTTAAACCAGCTGACTTTCTGTGAGGAGGACGTCCATGTACAATAAAAATTAGGCTGGTTTTTCAGTGTCCAACTTTTCTATTTTCTTACACTTGGATGCAGTCACTGGTGATGGATGCCAGTTTTTTAAATTGTGTTTTTGTAGTTCATTTTATAAAGATCTGAAGTAATCGAAAACAGATCAACAGAGGGAACTCTAAGTAGAAACTCCATCATGAAAGGAGAGTTGTAAAATCCACTTAATATTGACAGATGTGTAATGACTTTCTCATGTTCACTTTTCATTTAGTTTTGTCATCTATATATATGTGTGTACGCATATATTTTTTCTTATTTTTATATATGTATGTGCACGCACACATCAGCACATAGAGAAATAGTCCACAAGATACCTACAAAAATACTCTTTCATCACAACAATCTTTATTCATTACCCAGTATGTTTCTTTAAAATCCTACGGTATTTAAGCTATAGATAGCAGATACCTAAGTATATAATAAAAGATTTGTAATGTATAAATAGGATTGTTATTTTTTAACTGCAGCATTGTTTAGTCAACTGGCCAGAGAATAAAAAAGCTGAAAATGCAATTGAACAATTTTACCATTGTTAAATTGGATCCCTATGGGATAATCAAACTTTATATATTTCATTTTAGCTTGCTTTTGTATGTTTTATTTTTAATTTTAAAGGTAGTTTAAATAAGTTTAAGATTTTTCCTAAATAAAAGAAACTCTGCTCTCTAAAGCAACCAGCAAAAATCATTGCTCACTGCAACTGGCACGCCTGGGGCATTCTTTGATGTGCTTCCTACCACATTTAATAAGGCCAAGCAGTCGCTTCTGATTCTAAGGCAAAAGGTTTGTTTATAGCTGAGGTCATGTATTTACGTAATGTGTTGTCTGGGTTTTCTGGATATATTCCCAAGTACAAACCAAAATGTATCATAATTTCTTTACATTTTTCTTCGCATTTTGACTTTCTCTAGCCAGCAGCATAAGAGGCACAAGCTCTAGCAGCCTTGGCCAGCAGGTGCACTCAACAAAAGAGCTCGAGGGGCATGCACGGCTCGTGGCTGACCCTCAGGATGCCTCTGGGTGCCACTTTTCCCCCTCCCCTATCACATGCATCCCTCTTAAGGGTGGAGCACTGCTGGTGTTGGCCTGCCTCTGATGAGGCTGTTTGAAGAGAGATTTAGAGATCTCTCTTCTGTCACACCAGTGACTCAGGGCTGCCCTCGCTCCCTGGAGATTCGCCCCACGCGTGCTGCCCCACGCCAGCACATCCTCCCCAGCTGGGATGCTCTCTTTGCAACCAAAGGCACCAGCACTCCTGATGATCACAGCCTGATGAAACACCCTCATTTAGTGTCACTGGGTGAATCGAGGATCACTTTACCTGTACTGAACCACGGTTAAGTTCTGCTCCCCACAGTGCCTGGCACATCGGATGTACCTCATCCAGCTCGACTTGCTGGGTTCTCCACCATCGATAAAGTGCTGCAGTGTCCCGTCTTGGTCATATATCTAGGGGAGATGGCACAAGGTCAAGTAGTTAGAACAAATCATCAGCAATCATTTTCACTGCTTTGCTGGTGTCTCTCTTTCCAGGACTTTATTGCCATGAAGTCTGTCATCCGTGTACTGATACTTCTAGAAATACACATGAAAAAGCAGAAAAATATTTTTTAGGGGATGCAAGTTTATCTTGTTTCTCTTATCTAGCCAATCTTTTCGTATTAAAAATATTTGTGGTGTCTCAAAGATGTGACCATGTTTCCCAAAGAATATTTGACTGATTCTGACAAGCTGGCCTTAAATAATGAACTGCCAGATAAACAAGAAAATCTGGACGTAAAGTGTGCAATAAAATGGCTGGGACATGTGAGCAAGGGGCAGTAGCAATCCCTAAACAAGGATCCCTTCCTTCACATCTCAGTTGCAGCAAGAGTATTTACTTCAGCAGCCTTACATGATATGTTGGAGAGTTATAGGATTCATAATATCAAAACAAATGAGACTAGAAGGAAAAATGGAGTTGATGATGCCTTTTGGATCTCCCTTGAGACACACAATTTTTTTGAAGTACCAAATGAGAAACCAGTCCTGAGGGAATCATTGTTTTCCTAAAAATGACTTCCCTGCTAAGGACATGAGAGCCAGTTATGTTGATTTTAAAAAAAAAGGTAATATGTTTGTATTCAAAAGTGGATGCTCCCTTTGAAGTCAAGAATAGAGTTGCTCTGGAGATTTTGAAATGAAAAGATAAATGTATCATGCATGCCTATCCCCTGACTGCTTAAAAATGTTATCTAGATAGGTCTAATCCTACTAAAAGTCTGTGATCTCAAAAGGTTTTTACTTGTTACACCATTACTTTGGCAAACCTCACAAATACATTTGAACAATTAGGTACCTATCTGAAGTAAATCTCATTTTCATGCCTTTTGCTCCTCTATGAACTCCATTTGCTTTAACATCCTTCCCCCAAAAATGTTATTCCCCTTGAAATCGTATGAGCCTAAATTGATATCTTCTTGAAAGTATTAATTCTGTTAACTAAAGAGGAAGCACATTTATTACATTGAATTGAACATTTCTAGCATATTCAGATTAACAACCTTGAATATCAATTTAATTATCAAGAGAATAACCTCATAAACTGTGTGACTATATTTGATACTTTAAAAGAGGGTTTCCTATAGTTCACAAAAAAATATACACAGGAATCAAAACCTAGTTTTTTTCCTCCACCAAAGGCAAGCGTCAAATTCAGGAACCAGCCTTGCTTCTGCTTTTGGCCATGAGGGACTGTGAGTAATCAGGAGGAATATGTCCATTGAAAGAGTAGGAGAGACACAGGAATCAAGTATCTATGGCGATCCTTATCCTTTTGTCCTGAGTGTCTGTGACAAGGATCAGGTGGAGCCTGGCCAGATACTCCTGTGGGGGGTAAGCAAGATGCGACCCCAACATGCACTGAGTGGAATAAAGTCAGAGAATCAGGAGTCCTCAGAAGTAAACAAATACTTTAATCCCAGTGATTAAGTTGATTTTTGTATAAATGCTAACATGCTGGTTACCAGCAAGGACCTATTCTTAAGCAAATATCTTAATGTATGCTGAATATATGAGCAAAATATGCTAAACTACATAAATCTGTGAAGAAATCAGAAAAGTTCTACAGGACGTCAGTGTATAAAAAGGAAGAGAAGGAAAAATTAATGACTAACAGTACTTGGCTGAAACCATTTTGGCAATATCTATGCAAACATTCTCAGCAGTGTTTATTACCTATCCATTTGCATGCTGCTTATTCATATAATAATATATGTCTTAACATGATGCAGACACAATTCCCATAAATAAAGAGGTGATAACTTCCTACTTCCCAGATTATATGAAACAGAAAAGACAAAGAGGTCTGCCATAATCAGTAGTGACACTCATGTCTTAGCACACAGGGCTCTACCCAGAGCTTTGTATAAATAGACAGTCATTAAATGATATGAAATATTAAAATCTGTCATGATAACATAGGACTGGGTCTTTCCTGGGCCTTGGTCTGGAATTGGAAGGACTGTGCTGAAAGACTAAGTATTTTCCAATACTTTATTCTGCAAGTACTGATGCATCAAGTGACACTCTGCCCTCCTTGGGCATATTGGGATATTACTGACATTGCTGCATAGTCATAATTTATCCAACAGCATTCTTAGTCCTGTTCTTACAGGACTGTAAACCCATCTGTAAAGAAGAAGAAGCCCTAGGCTTGGAAGGTAAATAACAATCCTGTGTTGACTCAATTTGTCAAGTTGCACAACACAGGTTAAAATCAGGGGAAAAAAAAAAGAAACAAAAACAAAACTCAGACATGGTTATTATTTTTCACCAGTATACAGGAGTTCTTATTCATTTTACAGTTATATAAATCGGGAAACCAGTGAAGAAATAACTGCCTAAAGAAACCCTCATGAGGGAGCAAAGCATAATCTGCCATAACAGAGAAAAAACAAACCTGTAGCCCAAGCTGTGAACACAGGCACTACATTAAACAATGGATATACATATTTACCACATCTCTATTACACAAGCATACGTCCTTAAACAGCCATACTTTCTATTACAAAAAATACTGCAGAAACCTGTGATAAACTTATGTTACTGGAAGACTTTGACTACTTGATCATTGCATCCATCCACACTGGTACAAATTTCTCACACATTGCAATAGCCTCATGGCAAAATAGAATACCATTTCTCCAAGTCCCTTCAGACTCTGCATTTATTTTTTCTGTATCTCACATAGTCACTGATCCAAGTAGTGGAAACACAGCTATTTCATTTTTCTACTTTGATTGCACTTGGAAGTGTTACCTAAGCTTCATACTGGCCTCTGATAACTCTTGGTTTTGCTGGATATTAAGAGTCTGGGTTTTGTTGTGGTTTTCTGTTTGTTTTGTAATGGAATGAACCACGCTGTGGAACAGACTGGAATTTGATAAAAGAGGTCTGCACTCACTTCATCTGATTTGCATTATGGTCCCCCTTAGCAGCTGCCTTAGAGTTAATTATCTTCTTAATAGATTCTTGACTGTTTACAGATATTTTACTGGTATGTTGCAGATCAAGAGACTCAGAATTTGATACATACTTCTCCTCTATGAATTTCATCCTTTGACTTCAGAATACAACAGAAACTGCTTCATTTTCCAGGAAAGTAAGTCCAAAGCATAGTCATCAGAATACAAGTCCTCTCTTTTCAGTATTTTCTGTTCCCTTCCTTGCAAACACCCCTTTATTAAATAACTGAGACATAAATAAAGGTCAGGTTCCTCTTCCAGTGGCTGGATTGGTTGAGGATAATTATTTGGAGGACATAGATACTTTAGTGATAATTGTAAGAGCAACACACAATGGCAGTAATAACATTACTTCAAAAGCGCACTGCATGCCACATAAGTGATGCTCTAAAATCTCTGAACAGCCATAACATAAATAACAGAAGTAATATAAACATGAACCATCTAAGATTTAAGCAGTAATAAAAGACAAGGTGGGTGCTAAAGAGGCTTCTGAGAACCTTCAATAACTTCAGTACTGATAGAATCAGTATTGCTTACTTGGATCATTGGGGCAAATCTAATTCTAGTGCTAAAACTGTTGCCCCAGTTTCTGGTATTGATGCCTCACAATTTTAGATTAAAAAAGTTCAAATGTAGCAGCACAGCTGCAGAGGAAGCTAAGCTATGAAGCAATTAAAAACTATTTCACAGAAGCAACAGCAAGCACAAAATTAATTTTTTTTAAATTCTTCCCTCCCTATCTGTTGCCTTCCCTTATTCTCTTTCCATGGCCTGCTATTACATCTTTAGAAATTCTTGCATTTATTTTTCCATTTAGTCAGGTAAGAAAGGTATTAGCAGATAATTATTTGGCTGCTCATTTTCACTTCAGGCAGTCAGGGAATGGAGTGATCCTGAAAATAAAAGGTTTCTTTGGAGACACATTTACATTGTAAAAGTAGCTATTAGAATTTTTTTTTTTATGTTGCAGGATATCAAAAGAAATGTGAAGAAAGCCACAAAACATGCAAGAGTTTATTCTAACCATTGTAGAGACTCTGGCATTTTGCTGTTCACTGCTATTCTCATTGATATCACATGCATAAAATCATAGAATTTTCAAATCATTTACTATGAGCCTTGTCCTCTCTAAAGAAGATTTACTCTTTCCTTCAAGATGCAAAGATAGCAAATATGTGCCCAAAACTACTCGTAATATGGTATAAAAAGTAGTAACCAGACATGTTAGATGTGGTAGCATCCACACAAGTTATGTCCTTTCTGTAACAGTGTATGAGCCTACAAGCCACAGTTACACTGGAAGCTTCTTCTTTGCTATCTTGGACATCAGAGCTCAATAAGCTCTATATTAGGCAAATCTCACTATTGTGAGACCCTGCTTTTGATGTAAAAACAGTACAGTAGAAGATGTAATACATCTTCAAAAGGTGTCCAACCTGAACAGGAGTTGAAAACAATGCCAAAAAGGATAATGGTTACAAGCCTGGCTAATAAGCTGACAGTCTGTAAAAGGTGTACAATTATAGAGCCATAGAATTGCTTAGGTTGCAAAAACACTTTTAAAATCATTGAATCCAGCCCTTAACCCAGCACAGCCAAGCCAAGCAGAGTTGAAGTCCCTACATTAAGTCCCTAAGTGCGTCAGCTACACTTTAAAATACCTGCAGGGAAGGTGACTCTATCACTTCCCTGAACAGCCTGTTCCAGTGCTTAACAATCCTCTTGGTGAAGAGCTTTTCCCTAACATCCAAGTTAAACTGTATCCTCTGGCACATTTGGAGGTTTTTTACTCTTTTCCTGTTGCTTGCGGCTTGGGATAAGACCCCAGCTCGCGCACCCCTGGAGCCTCCTCTCAGATGCTGTAGAGAGCAGTAAGGTCCCCCCACCCAATCCTCCTTTTCTCCAGACTCAACAACCCCAGCTCCCTCAACTGCTCCTCAC